TAAAATGGCTCCCCAGGGTTCCTTTTGATTAAGCAGAATATGATTTATTTGAAAAAGAATATGCTTCAATAAGGCAATGTATTTATAAGCTTTGGTTGAAGCTGAGAGATGCAGAAATATGGTAATAATTAAATAGATACATGTTTTGGAACAGTACGTTTAGCAAGCTTTTTGGATTTTTTCCTAGATTTTCATGGCGACTTCTAACAAAGCAATAGGCGGTTTTTTTTTTGGTTTTTTTTTTACTAATGAAGCCCAGATAAACACAGTGAATCAGTGCATAGGATCACTGCAATGCCAATTTATTTAATATAATACCATAACTTTATATTTATCACCCCAGTCATTCGTTTTCGGTTCAGTACAACATTTACATTGCATTTTTCAGACATGCATGTTATGCTTTAACTTTTTCAGTACCAGCATGTTAACCACTCTTTAAAATATTCCATTAACACTATACTCTATACAGGGGTAGGCAACTTTCAGCACTCCATATGTTGTGGACCACATCTCCCCTGATGCTTTGGCAGCATTATCGCTGTAAGAGCATAATGGGAGATTTAGTCCACAGCATCTGAAGTGCCAAAAGCTGCCTACATCTTTATGAAGAAGTAGAGGTTTACAACCTTACAAGTACTTACATCAGGGGCTCACAATTTTAGCTGTCCACTAACCATTGACAAGGGCAAATTTAGCCTTGGTGTGTATAAATCCCCCCCTGGCAAGTGTGCTGTGGACCCTCATGTCTTGTAGTGCCAAGTCTATTTTAAGGCTTTGCTAGCACCATTACTGTGATGCTTATATTTTATGTTATAGCATTGCTGTGTTGATTTTTGATAAACTGAAATGTTTTGTCCTCACATGCACTAAGCAGCATTCTTTGCATAATATTTGTGTTTCCTGATAGTAGGTGGGGTATATTAATCAAGAAATGCTTAACTTTGAACTTTAACTTATATTAATATGTATCTATTTTATATATAAATAACGGTTGTAAACTCCTTTGAGCAGGGTCCTTGTCACCTCTTTGGCTTAACTTTGTTCGTTATTCACTAAAGTGTGAGCTTTTAGAATATCAAAGTGAATTCCTAATTTATTTTTTGCACAAAACTCAGACATGGGAAAAAACTCTTGAATCCAACTCTCGCTTAGTGTGGTTTATTTGGTTTCATTTCTTTTTGGGATTAAAATTTTAAATTCACTTTGAATGTTCTTTAAATTTCTGACAATTTACACTTTACAGGGTTATTCGCTGAACTCTGTATATAAAACAGTAAAGAAACACTATAGTGTTAGGAATACATATCTGTATTCCTAATGCTACCGTCCTGATGTGGCTATTTAGTTTAGGGCCCTCCAGGTATTATAAAATAAAAACAAAACAAATTACTCATCTTTTCTCTAGCGCCTAGTCACTGCCCCTCAAAATGACATCATCCCGGAGCCTCCATATGACTGTCCAATCCAATGTTCCTCATAGAGGAGCATTGGGGACCTTAAGTACACGCGTGGCCTGCACTCGACGAGATTTACCTAAGATTCTGCCATAGAGAATCATTGAATGCAATGATTATCTATAGCAGACCGTTACAGCACTTGCCATGCAGTTGTTATAGTGCCTACAGTATTCCTTTAAATTGGAATGGCAAAAGCGAGTCTAAAATAGTCATACTGTAACCTCACCTGACTTGGAGAATTAATTTGTTAAAGTAACACTATAAGCACCCAGACCACATCATCTCAGTTGACCTGTCCCCTTCACCCTAAAATTTTAATTATTGCAGTTTCTGAGAAGCTCCAAAATCCTCCTCTAGTGGCTGTCTTTCACTAGAGGCGCTTCCTGGTTTTCACATAGGTTTATTCCATGAAACAATGTCCTCACCCCATGAAAAAACATTGATTCAAGTTTTCCTATGGAGAAGCCATAATGTGTCTGTGCAGAGTGCACATTAGGACCCCCCATCATAAAGGTGAGGGATCCCGATACAGTGTTGAGGGTCCCGTTAATTACAGAATTTTTGGAAATTAAATCTCAATGAAAAAACATGTACTCACAGCTTAGCTAATATAGCCTCAGTTTTGTCATTTGGCTTTCAATTTGCTACAATTCCAAGTTTAGTGAATAATCATTGTTTGTTTTACAAAATTGTTTGATAAATACCAAAAACTAAGCCCTGCACTCAAACTCCCTCTACTCTTGAGCAACAGCAATAGATGTTGTATTCATCCAAAAACTTGCACACTATTCCAAATCCCTATGCACATTTAAATAACAAGAGGTTTTTAGTATCACTCCAATGACCAATAAAGTACAAGATCACCTAATTTGTTCGCCATGGCGGAGAAGGTGAGCTTGCTTGGCCATTGGAGTGATACTAAATACTTTCTGTTATCTAAATGTACATAGAGATCTGGGATAGTGCACAGGTAACTTATTTTGCTCATGTTCTAATTATGTTTCCTTGCTTGTGTGTGTATTATTAATCCTCAGAGATTTTATCTAATAATAACTTTTTGTTTGGTAAAAACTGCATTTTCCAATGTCCGGTTTTCAATTTACAAATTAAAATCATGATTTTTGTTCTAGTTTTCTGGAAAAAAAAATGTTTGTGAACCTTAACTTCTTGATACATCTGATCCCATATTTGTTTCCCTTCTCTCTTCAAATCACATTTTAAAATCTACTCAGGAATATGATTTCCATGCATCATTAACAATTTCATTTTAAGTTATTCTTCTGTTTTTGTTTACAAGAAATACATTAAAAGAAAGTAAAAACTAGATTTTCTAAAAAAAACGATGCCATCATATATATGTAATAAGAATTGCTTACAAGGTTGTTCCGACTTCTGCCCAGGCACACAATACAAATGAATTCCTTTCTTTTCTACAATGAACTTTAACCCCTTAAGGACCAAACTTCTGGAATAAAAGGGAATCATGACTTGTCACACATGTCATGTGTCCTTAAGGGGTTAAACCAATCACATTTTTTGTACATAAGAGTGGCCAGACAAGTGCCTTTCATTTCCAATTGACTGTTTGTGCAGAATTTGATGAAAAAACTCAATTACTTTTAACATTATAGTAATATTCATTACGCCCTTAACATGTGTCCTTTTTAAAATGCTTCTAAAAAAAACCCCCATATTTTGTGTGATCCCCAAGTTAAGATTATTCTTGTTTTTTTCTGTTGACAGAATTCCCAAATAATTTCTCCAGTTTTATTATTTTAGCCCAAATTGTGCAAGTTGGTTTTCAAATTGCCTCATCTAACGATTTAGTTAGTTAATAGACCCCAAATGTTGCATATACTGACATTTTCTACCCATAATTTTGTAGTTCACACAAACCAATATTGCCATTTTTCTATTGCCGTCTTTTTCCTTTTATTTATTATTTTTAAATGGCACACCATAGAAAATAGCTTTAGAATTCTCAATTATTGGAAATAAATTCAGCATCATATATTCTCAGTGTAGTTTGTGTAATTCATAAAATCAAAATTAGACTTTTAATACATTTCCTTTTCTGAGGTTTTGCTAAATTTTAGTAAAGAGATCTTTTTATTTATCAGAAACAGTGTGAAGAACCAGAGATATTTTTTTTTTTTTGCTAAATGTGTGATATAATTAGCACTGAATATAATTATTGCAAATCTGGTACATTCTTAACCCTTTGCCCATGCTAGCTTTGTTGAATGATCTGGAGAATAGTTTTTTTTTAAGTTGTTGAAAATGTTCTTGATCAATAAGCATTAGTTAGCAATTTGTGTGCATGTTTTCCATTTCTTTACAGTATTAGCCATTCGAATACCGGAATTTATGATGCAGATGTTCTATAAATATCTACAAATTTTATATCCATTTTCCCCTAGAGTGCAAGCAAAAAGTTGGAGATATAACATAGCAAACACTATATCACAAAATTCTATTTAAATCAGCGTAAGCAATGACCACACCAGTTGAATTCTAAATCCCTCAAATCATTCAGTCGTCATTTATAGCAACCTGAAAAAAAAATGTTTTTGTCGTTGGTTTACCATTCAAAAAACTGTAATTGTGACCACTTTTTCAATCTTAAAGAATGGTAAATTTTTACCTTTGCAAATTCCAAATTCATCACCAAAGTCATCTTCTTCTGTAAAGAACTGGCACTTTAAACCAGGCCCGCATTTAACTCCATCCATGCCAGAAACTGTACGGTAACAGGTTTCGCCAACACCTGCGGCACAGACTCTGCAGCAGCCACAGTCATCCAGCACGGTCCTCTTGCAGCGTGTAGTGCTTTTGCAGTCATGGCTATCACAACGTTCAGGGCAGTCCACTGCGTACTGTGCTCTCCATGCACTGCCAAGGTGCATATTAATCAAAAGGGTTAGAACAATAATACACGACTTCATATCTCCCGTAAAATGAAATGTTAATGTTGGTGTCCAGACACAGAGTACTGTTCGCAGCCTTTTGCTGGTTACAGGAATGAATCCAAAATAGTAGCTGAGCATCAAACTACAAATTTCAGAGCTTTATACATTGCCTTCCCACATGCTTGTCAGTCGTCAGCTTCCTCAATCCGGCAGTGCTGTCCCATTGCCAGCCTCCCGTGCTTTATTTCAAGGGCTCCAGGATGGAGGTTGGATTAGCAAGCTGCTGCCATTCAGGAACCGAGAAGACTGAGCTGATGTCATTTGTTATGTTTAGATAAGTTGTTTTTTGCAACAGCAAAGAAAAGAAAAAGCCTCATCCTTATCTAAAGTACTTAAATATATCTCAGAGAAGAGAAACTATAATGAACAAAACAGGGCTAGTAAAGTGATTGGCACTTGATTTTTATTTTTTTTCATGGGATGTATACTGAATAATTGCACAGTAAACAGTGTAAAGAAAAATGATTTTCACAATAATTCGCAGTATGCATATTAATTTTCTAAACTGTTTTTAACTATTCCTAATAAAGATAGAGCATATTTTATTCCCCTGGACCTTCTTACTGTACATATTGATTCCTGGACATATTCTAAAGTGGGGAATATGATATAGTCCATTTATTAGCATTTATTGACCATACAGTGTACACTATTTTGTTCTGTTTTTTTTGTTGCATAAACCCTCTGAAGCCACACAAATATCCTTGAGTGGGGTACCACTCCACACTTATTAATATTAGTAGGAGTTGTTTTGAGGCTCCATAAAATGTGAGTGCATTCTCACACTTCAAACCAGGTCCAGATTTAACTCCATCCATGTCAATGGTACCCCACACATATATCCTTGAGTGTGGTACCGCTCCACACTTATTAATAGGAGTCATATGGTGGCTCCATAAAATGTGAGTGTATTCTCACACTTTAAATCAGGCCCACATTTAACTCCATCCATGCCAGAAACTGTATGAAACCATCTTACTTCTACACACAGCGCCATTTATTTAATATACTGCACTATATAGGAATGTGTTTTGTTCTCTGCTTGATCTATTCCATAAGCTACAGAACATTGATTTTTCCATAGATCAAGATACACATGCTCATTATTACATTTATAGATTGTCTGTCACACCCAAATTTTAGATAAGTAAAAATAACAGGTGTAGTGATGTCCCGAACGGTTCGCCGAACGGTTCGCCATGGACGGCGAACATATGACCCTGTACCTCACAGTCAGCAGACACATTCCAGCCAATCAGCAGCAGACCCTGCCACCTCTGGACAGCTCACTAAGAATGCAGCTTCCAGGAGGTGGGAGGGTCCGTTCGGGACATCACTAAACAGGTGTAAACACTGCCTCTTATTAGTACACTCCTGCACTTTCTTAGCCCATAAAACTTAATATTTACCCTTGTGCTACATTCTTGTGGACTATTGGACTGCAATTATATATTTACAATATCTTGTTCCCATTTTTATATTAACAAGATCCCATACATGGACTTATTCAGGACTCATTACCTAATTCCGTTTTGAGTGTATATGAATTTAATTCATTTTGATATATTATATTACTATTGTATTTTATTTTAGCTCCTGGATACCTTTCATCTTATTTGTTATAAGTGATACTGATATACCTGTTTCTTTAGGGATTAGTGGTGACCACCCTCTCCCCCTCCCCATCCATTCCAGTTTTAGAGCTATTTATTTGACTAATTGTGGTTTTATCTACTGTTTACTTTATAAACATACTTTTACTCCCTCTATTATAAGAGTCAGATTACTCATTTCTGTATTACAAGCACTTTCCTTCTTTCCACTTTTCTGTGCTTTTAATACTTTGATTTGTATTTTGTGTCTTTTATTATTGTTATTATTTAATATTTACCCTCCCTTCACTGCTCTTGATATTCCAATTATTTTCAATTTACTTTTTCACAGTTTAGCAATGATCTGCCCTCTCCTCCTCTTTATTTCTTCCTTCTCCCTCAGTATAAAAATTACTAGTATATAATTCTCTTTATAATTCAATATGAGTCTCAACAATGTCAAAGAAAGAGTTAATAGGAGAAATGATTTCCCATTGGAGGATAATCCACCTACCAGACCATTAGGGATGGATACTAAGAAATATGTTGAACATAAATTTATACCTCGAACCTGAGATTTGACAAACAGCCCTTCTTTAATGATCATATTAAGTTGGAAAAAGAGTGGCTTGGTACATTGGATAATTGCTCGTTGATATTAATGCAAATTTTAATCAGGTACAGGCAATCTAGGATAAAAGTATCTGAGACTAAAATTGATCAGCTACAAACTCAGATTGGCTCAATATCAGGGGATGAATCATTAATTAAGGACTTAGACTATTCAGTCAACCAAAAAATTATTTAATTTGAGGAGTTAATAAGCAGAAAAAACTCTATGTTTCAAAGGGACAAAAAAGACTATAAGAATGGGACTATTAGAAACTGGCAAAGGAAAGAGAGCCAGCTTAGACACACAGAGAGACCTACTTCTCAACCTAGGATGAATAATACTACATCTGTTAAATATTCTACATCTACTAAACCGAACTTTAGAAATAAACAGCTACATACTGGCCATATGCTGATGCTGTGAAATCTCCAAGGTTCCATTCTAAGAACAGATATGACTTCTCCCCATCCTACAGAAGTAGAAATGACAAACGCCTCTTGAACAATCCCAATCACATCCCCATTCACCATCCCAAAGTCAATATGGGCCATGACCAGGGCCGGCGCTACCTGTAAGGCGACCTAGGCAGCCGCCTAGGGCGCAACTTAGCAGGGGGCGCCGGATCCTTGCACCAGGAATCAATGGTGCGGCTCCTCATGCTGCGCCGCCTGAGCGCTTTTACAAGCCTCAGGCGGCGCAGCACTGCTGTGGAGGGCGGCCGGATTTGAGTGACCGGCAGGAGGGAAGCGCAGAGCGATCCCTCCCACCGGTCTCTCAATGTAGCGTGGCCGGGAGGCGCGGATTGTGGGACAGGAACCTCTGTTTCCTGTACCCGGCCACCGGCGTACTGACAGGAAGTGCTCACTGAGTGAGCACATCCCTGCAGTCCGCCGGCGGCCGGGTACAGGAAACAGAGGTTCCTGTCCCACTTTCCGTGCCGCCCGGCTACGCTACATATGCGGGAGGGAAGAGGAGGGCAAGGACCACCTGGGGAGGGGGGTATGTAAGGACCACAGGGGGATGGGAGGGGGGTAGGTAAGGACCACAGGGGAGGGGAGCAGTGAGGTAAGGACCACCTCAGGGAGGGGGGTAGGGACCAGGAGGGGAGGGGGAGCTAAGGACCACCAGGAGGGGGTGGCATGGACCACAGGCAGGGAGGTAAGACCACCAGTGGAGGGGGCAAGGACCACAGGGGAGAGGGGAGAGGGGAGGTAAGTGACCACCAGGGCATGGACCAACGGGAGGGAGGGAAGCAAGGACCACCAGAGGAGGTGGGTAAGGACCAACAGGAGGGGCAGGCAAGGACCACCAGGAGGTAAGGACCACCAGGAGGGGAGGTAAGGGCAGCAGGGGGAGGGGAGTAAGGACCACTGGGAGGAGGTGGGGAGTAAGGACCACTGGGGAGGAGGTGGGAGTAAGGACCACTGGGGAGGAAGGGGAGTAAGAACCACTGGGGAGAAGGGGAGTAAGGACCACTGGGGAAGGGGTGAAGGAACACAGGAGGAGGGGGGTGGGGAGTAAGGACCACTGAGGGAGGGGAGGTAAGGACCACTGAGGGAGGAGGGGGAGGTCCACTAAGGAGTTTGGGAGAGGGAGGACGACTAAGGGGGGAAAGGACCACCAAAGGGGGGTAAGTAGGGAGGACCACTAAGGAGAGGGGAGGAGGGTAAGGACCACTAAGAGGGGGGGGAGAAAGAGGATAATAACCACTGAGGGGGGGAGATTACCACTAAGGGGGTGGGGGAGGAGGGGAATGTCTACTAAGGGGTTTGGGAGAGCGAGGACCACTAAGGGGAGGGATGGAGGACCACTAAGGGGGAGTGAGAAGACCACCAAGGGGGGACTACAGGGGGCCAAGGGAGAGCACTAAGGGACAGGAGAGAAGGGGAAATCAATAATTGACAGGAGGGGAGAGCACTATGCAAACATTTAAAAAAATAAAGAGCTGCTCCCCTCTCAGTCCCTATCCTACCCCACAAACCCTCTCTTTTACACTACACACATACACACACACACAGAAACATACAATGCATTCCTACTCACACAGACACACCAGACACACCAGAAACACATAATGCATCCCTTACGTTCACACAAAATCATTCTCTTACACACCGAAACAAAATGCATCTCTTACACAATCAATGCACCCCTTACAGACACACACTGCATTCAATTAAATACACAGAAACACACCTTGCACCCCTTACACACACACCCAGAAACAAGCATTCCTTACACGCAAACACACACTGCATCCCTTACAGAAATTGGTATCCCTATACACTACATTCTATAAGAACACACACACGTTGCATCCTCTACAATAACACATAAAACATCCCCTACACACATACACTCCACTTCCTGTGAGAGAACTCATGGGTGGGCCATGTAGGTGGATTTATGGGTGGGCATTGTAGGCATACTCACGGTCAAGCCCTGGAGGCTCAGACCTTGAGCTGTGTAAGGGGCCCTAAAACATGGAGCTGTTTCCTGTTCGTTAATTGTTGTGAGCACTGTTAAAAACAGTCTCCAGAGAGCCTTTTCTACACTAGACCTGTGGAGCCAGACTGAGCCCATCATCAGCCTCTTGTCCTCATCTGGTGGTAAGTAGGCAATCCAATATATTATTAGTGGCACTAATCTGTAATTTACCTCACATTAAATGGATACTATAGTCACCAGAAGCACTACAGCATAATGTAGTGGTTCTGGTGTATATAGCCTGTGCCTGTAGGCTTTTAATGTAAACACACTGCTTTTCAGATAAAGACACTTTGTGAAGACTGGCGTTGGCCCATATAGCCCCAGAGCATATGGGCGGGGCGATGTGATGTCACATGGTGGGCAGGACATATAAGGCAAATTTT